GATGATTGGACTATTTCCTCTTCAAAGTGTTCACACAAATCTTTAACAAATTACTTTAAAACTTTGCCTAGCCAACTCATGGTTTAACTATTTCAAATTTATAGAATTCATACTCATTCTAGTTTTCAAAACTGCAAATCATTTGATTGCCCTTACTCTTTACATTGGACTTTGCTTTCTCTAAATTCTCCCTTTACTTAAAGAATTTTAAAAGGCTATCATATAAATCAATATATATGTATATATATATGTAATATTGCTAAGATTTAATCCATAAAATATGATTTAAATTCTGATATATTTTCAATTTCCTAAAAGTCAATGTCCTCATTCTATCTTAAATCATTATTAATTTTGTTAGAATAAAATGCTATCAAGAGATGTAGAAAGATACATGAATTATAGATAGATACATGATAGATTATAGGAAGATGATAGGTAGATAGATATCAATAGAAGCTGATTTTTGCCTTTTGCTTTATGAGTTATCAGTACTATATTATCCATAAAAACTCTCAAGAGTAATTTAGAATTTTATATGCATTAAATCCAAGTAAAATGAATTTATTGATTGATATTTTTATGTAGAAAGGAAATACTCTGTTTTAGCCATAATTTATGCATGCTTACTTGTAAGGTTCTTCATGGATATCTTTCTTTTTGCTCTAGAGCATTATTATTGACCTATTACCCCATATTTTAATCTGAAGTGCCAAAGTGAGTCAAGATTAACTTTATTAGGTAAACTGTAATAAGAAAAGTGAAGGTCCTATTTTATTTATTCTTTGATTATTTCACATATGAATACCATGTGTTTTGATAATATTCACTTCTTACTACCCATGCCTTCTCCTCCCCAACACCTCCCAGTTGATTCCCTTTGTTAAGAAGAATTATCCCACTAACTGTGCTTCGTGACACACTAGTATGTGTATGACTATAGAGGCGTCTTCTCAATTGTCACAGTCCAGCAGCGATCAACTACCAGTGGCTCTTCTGCTATGGATAGGGTCAGTCTCTCAAACGTTCTTTACCCATCCATGTTGTAATGTTGACTGGTTTAATGGTGAGCAGGACTCTGCTCTTGATACCAGCTATTCTGAGATTGTGGGTCAACAAACCAACCCTGTCACATCTGCAGGAAACCATCTCAAAGCAGTCCAATTCATTCACACACATTCTGTACCTCTTCTGTGATCCTTCCTGCTCTTACCACAAGATAGTGTCATATATTTCCACTTGTACAGGCTTTCTCTCACATTGTTTTAACCAAAAGTATTAAAAAAATACATTTTTGCTAACTGAAGCAATAATGTTTCTGATTTTTCCCACTTAAAATTAAACAATTAATTGCATATTATTATTATTTGGAAATTATTTCAGGTGATTAATATGCTAATTTGATGAAATGTGAAGGCCTTTTCACAACACATATCAATACAAAAACTGTATACTTAACCATATGCATTGCTTCATGAGACAACTCAATAAAAACATTCAATGATGAACCAGTTTTCCATCCTTGTTCCCTTGACCCTTCCTACTGTTGAATTACAAGATGTAGGAGTATCTACATACATTTTTACAATCTTGTTTCACTTATATTTGAAAATTTAATAATCCTAATTTTTCACAGTAAAACTAAGCATGTGACGGCATCAAAAGTGACAATTTTCGGGGTTTCTCTCTCAAAAGCTTCAGCGCTTAGCACTAAATTTTGCCTTTCTAGTTTCTGTAGTCTGACCAGCATCAATCTCGTGTTGGATGCTTCTCTGCCACCAGCTAAAATGATTCTTATAACTCTTCCAAGGTAACAAAGGAAGGGCTCAGGATGAGAAATGCTCATGCTTTCAGGTTCAGAGATTAGCTCCATAATAAATTTTGTTGACTGAAATACATGTCTATTCCTTTCAACTAATCTTCGAAATAAAAAAGAAAATGATCAACTGTTTACTACCTGGCCTTCCCCAGGGAACCTTGACCAAATTAGTTCATTTATTGTCTTCTTTGATGCCTGAGAACACACCCCATGTACTAGGTGCTCAACGGGCTCACTTTCCTATTGCTGGAGAAAGTTGGCACCCGTTCAGAACATCAAACTTTTAAAGCCACTTATGTACACTGCACATTTTATCGTGGGGTTTTGAGAGTGCTTACAGCCCTTAGACTGAGTGCAGTCATTGATACAAATCATTCCTCAATGAATAGATTTGTTTCAGAGCAACGAAGTGTCTATTTGGCAGTTCTGAGCAAGTCCATGTAGACTCATACAATGTGTCTCGATTCTATTCAGTTGCTGTGGTCATAGTAATGGAAAACCACAAGGGTGTTAATAATACCTTGTTTTGTTTTTAACAAACATTTTCATTTCAATATACTAGAAGCAAAGTTGGCCTTTTCCTGAAAATGCTATGGTGTGAAATATTAAAATTAAGCTACACGCCTTTTCTGAAATCAAATGCTCCTCAGGACAACCCCTTCCCATATTCGTCAGTGCCTTAGTAGCAGAGCAAGACATGAACTTAACTCTGTTTCATATCTTTTTTAAAGAATCAAAAATATATTAGTCTGTATAATTCTACTTGTAAGTATATTTTTAAGGCTGACCATACATTGAAGTAACAGCATACAGAGTGAGTATATATATATATATATATATATATATATATATATATATATAAAGATGGAGAGATGATTCAAAGTGTAAGAGCACTGTCTGTTCTTCCAAAGGTCCTGAGTTCAATTCCCAGCAACCACATGGTAGCTTACAAGCATCTATTATAGGATTTGGTGCCCTCTTGAGGAAGAAACCTGATTAGTTGTCCTCATCACTTTAGACCATGAAACCCAATACAGACAAGTTCAGCAGAGCCATCATATATGGGCTGCCCATGCATGCTTTAGCATTGCCAGAGCATAAATTTCAGTTTCACAAATTCATATATAAATATATATGATTATAACCTGCTATATTTACATCACATATATAAGTACATTGTGTGTGTGTAATATGTCTGTGTGTGTTCATCAAAAATTAGTGAAAAGAAAGAGTCCATGGACTTGAAAGAGAGCATAAATTGTATAAGAGATTGTGGGCCAAAAGGTATGGGTAAAACAATGTAACTACATCACAATCTCAAAATTTTAAGAAATATTTTTCAATAATAAATTAGGACCCAATGTAAAGAAAACCCTCCATGTTTATTGGGAGACACAAGGGAGAGACTAGCCAAAGCCTGGGAGAGCACCGACTCATTATTCTGACACTGTTGCTTATTCGCTACTTCCTCCAACAACTTTAAATGTTGGTAATTTCCATATTTTAATTGACTTCTTCTATCATTCTTAGGAGCAACTAAGCACCACAGTGTGCCATGCTTTCACAATGAGTAACTGAATGGCAGCAATTCCATCACCGTTTGTTTGTTTGCTCGTTTCAACACATCAACCTCCAAATGAACGGAAATGGCTCTGCTAGCCACATACTCCAGTGAGATAAAGACAGTCAAATATAAAGAAGTGGATGCTAAGCATTCCCTCTGCCGCGCTTTAAAAGTAATATCCCTTACCTTATCTTCTCAAATGACCTTTCTCAATTCAGAAAAAAAAGACCAAATAAGAAGGGACTGCTACAAGTTAAGTAACCTTTGTCAAACACTTACCATGATTTAGTAATAATTGCCTAGATATTTTTTTTACTGACTCTTCACAAAGAAGGTTTTTGAAAAGGACTACTTTCCTGATATTGAAGAAGTCGCTTGAGAGTGAAGGATGCCATATTATCCGTATGGACATCAGGAGGAAAAGACCAACCTTACTCCACACCCAGGACATTAGCAAACCTGAATCATTTCCACACTCTCTCTGTTAAGCCTGAGTGATCTTTCCTCCTCTAAAGCACAAAAGAGGGTCACTTGTAGGTTTAACAAATATGTATCCAAAGGAATGCTAGTCTCTTGGTATTTGTAATGATGGAGAATGTTATGTCAGTTTTAATATCCCTGCCAGGAAACTCTTGGAATAGTCATTCAATTTGGAAAGAAAAACAAAACAAAACAAACAAACAAACAAAAGACCCCACCCGTACTTGTTTACTATGATGCCTCAAATGAGATGCAAGGTGGTATTGGTGGGTGAGAGTGGGTGACTTCCTGCTGGGAGAAAGTACCTAAGCTGCTTCAGCTGTTCTCATCAATTTTTGAAAACAGCCAATCAGGCCTGAAATCCCTGTTATCATAAGCTGTGTACGTTACAAATCGTTGTAATTTATTCAGGAGTCAGAAGGGGTGAGAAGTTCATGCTTGGCTTAGTTCTTCTGGCACTAGGAAGAGGTAAGGAAGGCACTGCAGTCCTATCCGTCTTCACAAATAAAACGCTGACCTCCAAGAGGAAGCTCCATCTAATATAAACCGTGTACGCTTTGAGTACTTGGGGTAAGGCATAAAAGGACATCTCTCAGGCTAAACCGCTGGACTTCCTCAGTACTACGAATCGCTGATGGATGAGCTAGCAGTTGAATGTTTAGCAGGCTGTGACGACTTTGCACGGAAATATGAAAATTTATTATCAGCTTGCCACATCAGCGCTTACCCTGGCTGCCTCTGCTCTTTCCCTTTGCTGTATACTCCCACTCCCTCTGACAGCCAGCCCCTGCCTCTGCCCCTACTTTCCCATCCCCCCCTGCAGAGAACTGCTGGTCTAAACTGTCACAGTCCTGGCCGTCAATTTTCAAGAACACGGGATTTTTTTGTTTTGTTTGTGTGTTGAAATGATTCTTATTAACCTTACTGCTTTCTGTGTGACCTTGTCTATGGGACAGGAAGGGTACTAGTGCAGCCCCAAAAGTATGCACGCTGGGGTGTGGGAGAAGGAGGCAAAAAGGGGAAGGGAGTAGAGGGAGAGTCAGAGAGCAGAGGAAGGAGGAGAGACTGCGAGAGCCGAGCATCAGGCCGACAAGCGCTGCCAGCCAATCAGAGGCACGCTCAGGAGCTGCAGAGACCTAGCCGGGGAGCCTAGGGCTGGAGGTGCGCGCAGCCCAGCCTGGGCTCTCCGAGGACCGCGAGCAGCCGTGCCCAGAGCTCTGAGAATGTCCCCCCTCTGCTTCTCATAAATTAAGTTTCTTTCCACCAGTTAGAGCAAGTCAGCCAAGGTAAGGTTTCAATACATCACACTTTACTCTGTCGTGACATTCATATTTTTATACAATGGGACTGCTTACCCAGTTCGGAGTGAAACAGTATTGGTGAAAATCTTCCTCCTGGATGCTTTTCACAGGGTGCTGTGCTAATGGGAAAGTTGCAGCCCGCAGCCTTGCCGCTCGTATAAATTTGTGTTTCTTATGCCGGAATGCTGCTCTAGAGCCTCTGGAATGTGAAGCTTCTGATATAGCTGGTTTTGTGGAGATGTTGGTTTGTGGATGTGCTGTTATCTGCCTTGCTCCTGAAGAAGTTGGAAGGGGACTCTGCCAGGCGCATTGGAATACTGAGGGCATGCGATTAAGCAGCATTTATGTCTATCTATAAAAGTGCGATCCGCGTGATCAGAATCAAACAGGGATGTTGCAGTCAGATTTTCCACAGAGCTTTTTAATTATTGTCTTTCCAGTATCTTTAAAATTACATGGCATCTCCGCACTGGAACTGCTGCAGGAAGAGCCTTTCTGATTTGTTTTGCTTTTTTTTTAATTTTTATTTTTTTTTTTAATTTTTAGAAATTTGTTTGCTTTTCCTTTTTTTTTTTTTTTACTTTAAAAATGTCTTTCATACCTGTTTATGGAAGCCTAAGGTGAAACTTTTATGTTTTATAAAGGGCATAGTAATGATGCCGGGAGAGAAAGAAGCCTGCTGGCTGCTGTGATCACTAGCTAGTTCATTTGGTGTCTGCCTCAGTTTCTTAACTCTCAGGCATTCCCTTAACTTCCTACACTTGCTTTGTTCTGAGTGTGGAAATCCTCTAATTTTGTCTTTGTTTCCACATCTGAACAGCAAGGGAGATCACGTCCGTACTTGTATGTGAGTGTGCTGTGCATGCAGATGTGGAATCAGGCAAATCCTTTCTATGTAACAGGTGAAAACAGAATTTTACTAGTTAGGGATATGAAGATGTCCTTAACTCTGTTATCTGTTACATTAAATAAACGTTATGCTTGATCAAGCTAAGTGTTCCTTATGTTTTTTTTAGACTGGAAACTGAGCAAAATAAGAGTATTAGGGAAAATAGTCTGCTTTCTGGTGTGCTCAGGTGATGGCAAGTCTGCTTTGAGACCAGAGAGATCAGAGAAAGATCTTGTTATGCAGCCAAAAACCTAACTATATGCTCTGCTTGCGTTTTCCAGCCTTTCTTTATCTTTCACTCTGGTATCACCCACAGATGTTAAACACAGGGGGCTGCCCGTCTTCAATAACTGTTTTCTTTCTCAGTGCATAGTCTCCTCAAAGACTATATTCAGCCCTGAATCAAGAGTGTGAAATGCAGAGTAGATCTTGAACATACCTGGTAAGATGTAGGAGGAGGAGTCAGAATATGATACCAGAAGAGAGTCTGTTCTGTAGCATTCTGGTCTGGTCCAAGCTCCAATTATTATTGCAGTTTCTTTCAAGCTTTCTGCTATATTTGATTCTATATTTACAGCTAATGAATTAACCTAGAGTCAGGACCCAATTCATTCACTCTATACGGTATTCACTTAATGGGTTCTGGTCAATAATTACTTTATGCATTATAGTTTCAGTGTTTTTCAACACAGAGTGTTAACTTAAGGAAACAAATAGACAATGATGCTAATGGCCTCTATTGATTGGCTACCTGAAAACAAGGATTGGTACAAAATGAAGAAAAGCTGTTTCAAATGCAGCAGAAACGCTCAGCAGAAATAAGCCAATAGGAGAGGAGAATAAGACAGGAGAAGAAATGTGGTGGGAACTCTACTTCAAGCTGTGACTGATACACTCTGAATATAATTATCTATAGCAGTTGCAAGGATAGGCAACAGCTTCTCTGATACTTAGATTTCATAATGTGCAAACTGGTGATTATTATTACTCCTATGACCTTTGCTAAAATGGATATGGTGAAATGATTGGAGATTTAATTCTACAACATTATGAAATTTTAAACCAAGTGTGTTTCATAAACTAAGTATACAGTGTTTGTTTTTATTTGCTCCTAGGAATATGATTGTTAGGCTTTGAATCTCTCTCTGTGGCCCAATTTATATAAACTGCATTTTTAGAAAATTTTTGGTTTTTCTCCTCTGACTTTGGCTTATGGGTGGTTAGGAGTTGAAACCATCCCTTATGTACTTTTAAACTCAATATGGTGACATCTAAATATGCGTGTACTCTGCAGCACATTGAAAATATTGAGTACAAACCTTCACTTATCCTGAATAAGTTGATTGGGGTAGTATAGTCCATGGAAGAGTACAGACATTGAAAGCTAAAACTATTGTGCATGATGCTCTTTATACTTATTTAGAAAATGACAGTAAGTATACCAGTGAGCTAGAAAAACTATTGATGTGTTTCAGTCTGGGTGATCTGCCTATTAATTCTCTAATCACTTTGAAAATGAATGGATTTCAAGTTGTACATTTCCAATGAGCCCTTAGCACATTATTCTTGGACACTATCATAATACCATCCTCATTTTTTTTCTATGAATTAAAAGACTGACACTATAACATCCTATGCTAAAATAGAGTAGGGGAGAGGGAGAACACTGAAGAAACAGTTTACATGTTGGGATTACAATAGATGTTCCTTCAATTTGGTATTATTTAGATGACCCATTAAAAATTAATATTCTCATAGCAGACTATTTCTGTTCTCCATTTTCATTGCTTGGGGTGGAATGTTTGGTATGTATGAAATTGGTGGTGATGTTCAATCTAGTAGTTCTGGATGCTTGGTGTACTTTTGAGCATTCAAACCACTGTACATAATAGGATAAAACTTTTATTTTAAAGTAAGTTTTCATTGGTAGTTACAAGTAGCATAGTAGGAAAGTACTGAGTACCATGATTTGAAGATGGGACAGAGGTTGGGTGCTCCAGGCAGCGCTGTACTACATGTGAACTCCCTGTCATATATTTTTCCCCAATTTTCAACATGAGCAAAAATCAAACATATTAACTGATATACGTGTATATACTTGAATCTGTAAGGATTCAAGGCATTATTGTTATAATATCATAAGTCAGTGTCCTTAAAGTCTTGTTTGCTTAGGAGTATTTTGGAATGCTGCCTTCAAATTAGATGGTTGATAAAACCCATCCACTAGAAAGGTTAGTATTTTCTCTTCAAATAGTGTTCATTCATGAAGCAAAACTTTAATATGAAGTGTGCAATTTAAAGTTAGATATAAATTTTCACTTGTTTCATGTTTCTACTCTCATATATGCCATAGTCAATTTTTTTTTATGCAGAATTAAAAGTTCATAGATATGTGACCTGGTATTTATTTTTCAAAAGTAAGTGTTGAGAGCTTTCAAGATGACTCACTGCATAAGAATGAATGCTGGGATTTGGGTCCCAAAAATTCTTAGGCAAAATTGTAGCAGATGTACTGGTTGTTTGTAACACTTGCTCTTTTATGCAGAGAAGGATCCAGTTAAACTAACCAAAATTTGCAAGATACTGGTCCAGTGAGATGTCCTTCCTCAATATATAGAGTGGAGATCAATTGAATAAAACACCTAGCATCAACTTTGGGTCATTCCCTTCCTAGAGTATTTATATACATGTGCACCTGCATACATGTATGTAAACACTCACATACAAACTTATACACACATGAAAAGAAACTGCCATCATTAATTCAGGAATAGTTAGAATTAATTGTGAAATGATAAATTAATATAGATATACATATACCATTATGAATGTAAATGTAAAGAAAGCCTGTCTTGAAACACCAAAAAAAAAAAAAGAATATAAATGTGTGTTGACTACTAAGAGCCCTGTGTTCCTTTACAATTGGGCATTATATATTACTACTTTATTGAGCAATTTCTTCCCTTTAAGTTTATAATTCTTCCTTCCCTTTTCTCTTTCCAAGTAATCTCACATATTGCACCCAAGTCCCCTATAAATCCATGACTTCTTCATACATTTATTTTGCATGCAGATTGTATATGTATATATAGACTACCTGTATATAACCCATATAATGTAAATTGCATGATTAATCATTTAGTACTAATAAATGACTAGTGTGGTCTTCCCTGGGGATAAACACCTTCCTTCCTCCCATATTTTCCAGTGGTCTATGGTTTTTATATGTTGTTGAGGTTCATGGCCTTCTCCTCTTCTACTTTGGCATGAACATTGGCAAATTTTTTATTTAGCGCATTGTGGGCATCATATTCATGGGGCTTTATGGGGATAGCTTATACTATTACTTGAGGATACAAACTCACAGGAAAATTATGATCTTCTGACACTTAGAATATATCAGCTCCCTCTTAGGCAATAATGTTTTGTAGATGTATCTACCAGTTCAGAGTTCCACAGCTCTGAATTTTGATTGGTGTGGTTCTCTGTAGTGATCTGAGTCTGTTGCAAAAAAAAAAAAATTTCTTAATGAGAGATTAAGGGTTCACTTACCTGTGGATACAAGGACAAATATTTATAGTTGTTAGGGTATACATTGGTTTAGTACATTGGTAGTTGTAGATTCTCCAACAATGACCATGACTTCACCACACACTGAGTAGTTGGGTAGCCATGTTTCCAGTACCAGGAGTGGTTTCCCTGTCATTGAGCATGTCTCATGTCCATTTACATAGATACTGTTTACTGACAAGATATGCATGCCACTACTGCAACCTCATGATATCATGTCATGTGTATTTTTAATATAGTCCGTGGGCATCATACCAGGGTAGAACTGTTAGTGGCCTCACTTTTTGGAAGCATTCATGGTACTTTCTGTTTTCATGAAGGCTAGTTCTAGAAAAAGGTCCCTGGTCCTATTTCTAAAGTATATGGTGTCTGCAGCAATGATGATGTAACGTTCACCTCTGAGGAGTAACCAAAGGTGACAACAACCGACTATACATTTTGAGAGGATTGGCACAGCCCTAGTCTATAACTCAAAGCAGGACAAGGACCCCAATATGTTTGATTTTGGTTTATCATTGGAGACAGT